GACTGTTACCGTTGTTTGCGGTTTCTTATCGTCTTCTTCGACGGTTTCAATTTTAGTAACTTCTCGTTTATCACCCTTGATCTTCTTGATGATACGAGTGCGAATCTTCTTCTTTGTGAATTTGCCATCCTTCGAAATGGACTCGACAATACGCACTTCCTCGGGAAGTTCTTTGATTTCTTCTGGTTGTTCATCAATGGGTGTCTCTTCTACCGTTACCGTCGTTTGCGGGTTTTTATCGTCTTCCTCGACAGTTTCAATTTTAGTAACTTCTTGTTTATCACCCTTGACCTTCTTAATTACGCGAGTGCGAATCTTCTTCTTTGTGGGTTTGCCATCTATCGAAATTGACTCGACAACACGCACTTCTTCAGGAAGCTCTTTGATTTCTTCTCGTTGTTCATCAATGGATGTTTCTTCGACAATTACCGTTGTTTGCGGTTTCTTATCGTCTTCCTCGACAGTTTCAATTTTAGTTACTTCTTGTTTATCACCCTTGATTTTCTTGATGATACGAGTGCGAATCTTTTTCTTTGTGGGTTTGCCATCCTTCGAAATGGACTCGACAACACGCACTTCTTCAGGAAGTTCTTTGATTTCTTCTGGTTGTTCATCAATGGGTGCTTCTTCGACTGTTACTGTGGTGTGTGGTTTCTTATCGTCTTCTTCGACGGTTTCAATTTTAGTAACTTCTTGTTTATCTCCCTTGACTTTCTTGATTAGACGAGTGCGAATCTTTTTCTTTGTGGGTTTGCCGTCTTTGGCAATAGATTCGACAATACGCACTTCCTCCGGAAATTCTTTGACTTCTTCTGGTTGTTCATCAATGGGTGCTTTTTCGATTGTTACCGTTGTTTGCGGTTTCTTATCGTCTTCATCGACGGTTTCAATTTTAATAACTTCCTGTTTATTACCCTTGACTTTCATGATTGTGCGAGTGCGAATCTTCTTCTTTTTGAGTTTGCCATCTATCGAAATGGACTCGACAACACGCACTTCTTCAGGAAGCTCTTTGACTTCTTCTGGTTGTTCATCAATGGGTGCTTCTTCGACTGTTACTGTGGTGTGTGGTTTCTCATCGGCTTCTTCGACGGTTTCAATTTTAGTAACTTCTTGTTTATCACCCTTGACCTTCTTGATTACGCGAGTGCGAATCTTTTTCTTTGTGGGTTTGCCATCCTTCGAAATGGACTCGACAACACGCACTTCTTCAGGAAGTTCTTTGACTTCTTCTGGTTGTTCATCAATGGGTGTTTCTTCGACTGTTACCGTTGTTTGCGGTTTCTTATCGTCTTCTTCGACAGTTTCAATTTTAGTAACTTCTTGTTTATCACCCTTAACCTTCTTGATTACGCGAGTGCGAATCTTTTTCTTTGTGGGTTTGCCATCCTTCGAAATGGACTCGACAACACGCACTT